CTCCGTGGCCTCCCAACCATTACTCCATTCACACACAGAAGAAGGCAATGGCAAACCACTTCTGGATCATCTGCCAAGAACGTATATGAACAGGTCCCAGTCCGAGAAAAGGATGGAAGGATATGGACCTGTCGTCAGACAGAACACTAAATAATATAATATAATATAATGGGTTAGTGAAGTTATTTTTCTCTGTATCTTAGAACGTCGTGAATTTCTTGATCTTTACTCACCTGGTTTTATGTGCTGCAGTGACCACACATTGGTTCTGTAGTAGATGTCTGTGAACTCAATGTCAACAGCTAGTTTCTTGGGGAACCGGTGTTGAATTTTTTGGTGGTTAACAGCGTGTAATTTGTTGTTGTTATTCATCTGCTGCTGAGGAGGCACTGTCATCACCTCGTCAGTACCGCTGGTAGTTGTCAGTGTTGTCTCCTGGAGTCTGTGTTCCATGGATGCCGTAGATGGACTCTTCAGACAGCACGCTGTCTTCGGTGTACGTTGATCACTTAGCTTCATGTTGTTCTCTGACTGTCGTATAATTTCATTCGATTCAGAAAGGGTCTTTTGCCCACAATTTTTTTTATAAATTATGCCCTTACAATTTCCTCACTAGACTGATAATAATTAGGTTTAGAAATGTAATTAAACTATTCCGTGACACGCAACTAAATAGTAGTAAATTTATTTATCCAGAGTCCATGTATCGTTAAGTTCTACATCACTGACATGCCCACAGATCATTAGATAATTGATGTAGGCCGAGTCCACGTGCGTCTAAAGTCCACAGTTAACAAATAAATAGTTCACAGCGATTGAAAACTTGAACGTGGGATTTTGTACAACGTTAATTCCTTTGGTTTAATAGCGTGGTATCAACACAAATACTGAAGACTGTATTGTTAATACTCGAGGTACTTTCTAGTTGACGATACTAAATTAGCAGACAGTTTTTGTTTTTTTTTGTAAAATCGAAACAAAAAATATAAAATTCATATTCACTTGCTACGTCAGAAACTGAAGTAGGCCTGATATAGGAATTCACAAGTCGATGCTGTGTTTGAGAACACAGAACCATCGCACAGAAACTTGGTCTTTCTACCAACTCTAACGCCCGAACGTCGTACCTACAACGCTGTTCACACAACACTGGCTGCCAAGTACTGAGTAAAACGAGGCTAGTCAGAGGCCTGCAACCTAGGGAACCCTGAGACAGACGTAGAGCGATGACATCTAGTCGCATGACTTCACTCCTATGGGCAAATGTTGCAAACTTTTTTCTTACATTTTTTTTTTTAAATTATGTGCCTTGCATAACGCGTTTTAACGCCTCCTGACTTCTGAATCGCAAACAAAAATAATATGCAGTTAATTAGAAACGTTAACAATTATAATTTCGTAATGTTAAGACAGCTGTACCAGTTTTTAAACTCCTGGTGGCATATTTTCATATGTTTACATTGTACCACTGTGAATCATTCGCAGTTGTTTATCCATAGAGACTGGACCTAATTAAAAACGCAAGTAATTTAACTTAATTCGGTTCAGTCGTTTCTATACTTAAGGCTTTGACCGGGATGTTCTTTTGTTAAATCTTATGTGGTACCGCCTGATTCGACTTCTAATGGTTAAGTGAAGTGTTTTCTTCGCGGTACGGTCTGGATTCGTAAATATTATGAAGACGAGCTTCGGCTTCAAAGGGTTAACCAGCTGATTTTCGTAATGGTGAGGTGTAGTGTTTTCTTCGCGGTACGGACTGAATTCATAAATAATATTCAGACGATCTTCGTCTTCAAAGGGTTAAGAGACTAATACTCGAGGAAATTCTAACACACTGATGCACATTTATTCCCGACTGATAATATTAAACACTGATGTACGTCAGACAGTCTTGTTACATTGATTTAGTCTTGTCGCTGAGATTTGAGCAGGCAACATACTAATCGAATGTCAGCTGATGCATCTCCGTACATCGGTCTCCACCAGGGCTTCGCCTTCTCGTGATGACCGGATACCTGTAATGAATAATAACATAGGTAATTGATAGGGGGTCACGCGTTAACAGGATGAACCTATTTATGGTTACGACATCTATTCAGTGTTCATGTCGTGCTGTATTAGGGCTCAACGACTTCATTACAGTCTGCTGTGTACCTAGTCACATGGATCAGGCTAACCTTGACCCAACAAATTCAGTTTTCAAAAGTTATCTCTTCATAGCCCACTCTTAACTTAACGTACCATCCGCTTCAACAACGAATAGCTCATTTTGTATACGTTTCATAAGATACTCACTGTAAACAGCGATAATTTCCTTGAACAGCGTTAACCATTTGATCTTTGTAAACGTGAAGAGTTGTTTTCTTTGAGGTACGGACTGAATTCTTGAATATTCTTTAGGTTAGCTTCGAGTACGAGGAGTTAAACAATTAAAGAGAGTAAAATGTCCTGTACGTGGTACCCAAAATGGATCCTCTGTCGCCCAGCTCCGATTCGTGAATATTTTCAGGAACGCAATTCAAGGAAATAATGAGACGCTAAGAAACCAGGAAGTTTGATAACATTCAGAGTAGGAACGATGAACCCATTTAGCAATAAATGTTATCAAGAGGCCATTCATATACCCTCTGACGTGGCAGTGAACTTGCAGTCACTATTACATGCGTTTGATTTACAGAGAAAACATTAATTTTATATATATTCGTTGAGAAACATTTTTGTTTGGATGGCGGCTCTTCTAGCAGTAACTTTATAAAATGTAAAAAGTGAATAATTGTAGCCTACTCCAATTTCGATTACATATATTGTTCGTATCCGTCCTACCTCATTTAGCCACAAATTCTTAAGAGGAAAAATTAAAATGCATTAATAATCTTCTTCCCAATTCGGTAAGTCTGACTGATAGGATGAGGGCGTCTCTCTGAAACAGGCTGAATGAAGTCCTTCCTCCTTAGCTTGAACGTATTCCCTTTGAGTGATATACCCTATCAATTCTTACGAAGTTATATTAAAATCTTCAACTGATAGTATAGTTGTTTGTATTCGGAGTCAACTTTCATCGTATTTGCAGGAATACTTAAATTATTAAAATCAGTTACTATTTAAATAAGTATTTTCTTCAGCGAAAGAAAGAAATCAAATTAATGTCAATAGTCGAATTATGTTACAGATTCAAACGTACTTTGAGACAGAAATTATTTTTTCTTTATATTTCGTTAGACAAACATAATATTCAAAAACTTGAAAAGTAAACGTGTTAAGTTCAAGTCTACACTTTGTAATGCACGAATGTTTGTGCAATAACCCGTTTCAGATAAAGCCTCACGTCATATAGGGTACTCATTTTCAACCAATAACTCCCAAAATTAAGTCTCTCTGCAGCACTTTATGTAGATTCGAAATGAAAATTTTTATCGAAATCTGATAAGTAGTTTCGACGATTAAACATACCGAAGGACTTCTCTCCACTGTGCCTCATTTTAATTAGGTTCCCCTTTCAAAAATATGATTAAAAAGAGGCCGTTAATAAGATTCGAATTAAAGACAGATGATTATCTTCCATGAGAACCAGAAATCTCATCTGAAGGCTTAGTTCCTGAGATATCCTTATGTAAGGATTTGCTTGCCTTTTCAAAATCCAGTTTGAAACAGTTAATTTATCGGTTTCAGTGTTTGGCCGGCAAATGCCAAGCACGTGTAAAGACGTGCTGTTTGGCACCTCACAAAAATATTTCGTATAATATTTGTAGCGATGTTTTAAAATATGCTTAACACAGCATGTCTCTTAAGGTTGATAATGCAAAGAGAGCTTAGTCATGTTATCAGACCGAAAATACAAACAGTTAATTCGTCCTGTGACCGTGTTCACGTACTTTAATAAAACGGTTCTGTGTGTGTGTGTCAGCACGTTATATTTGTTTCAAGGATTTTTTTTAATGAGAATAATGCCGACTATGAGTTTGACACTTTAAGGTAGAGCTTAAACTAGACTTATAAGCGGTCAGTAACACGACCTCAATAACGAGTTAACGAAAAACTGGCTAACTCCATGATATACGATTCTTCTTAAGTCACTTAAATTTTAAGTAGTAAGACGTTGTCCCGCCACGGTGGTAAAATTAGTTCCGTTCAGTTCCTGAATGCCTCAAACCCCGTAAAATACAATTTGCTTTACTTTTAATCAGGAATGACTGTACTTATTCTTTGGTTCTTCATTTTCTTGTCTGACTCCTCTATGCCGAGATTCATCATCGTAAAACCTTCACCGCTGTTCTTATGGTTCGAAGATTCATACATAATTAATGAATTACTGAAGGCAACAGAATTTATGATGGTTACGAAGAAGACAATGTTGCCCTTGCCTCTTTCCACTTCTTATTCTGCTCGACACTAGCTCATTTTTCACCCAGGGAGCACCTGACGCAAACCGCGATTTCATTGCAATCTATTCATGCACACACCCCCCCTTCATAACACCCCCACAGACTTGCTACCGTCCAGTCCTAAACAAAAGCACACCACGCATTCACCCCACGAAACCTGTTATTTATCCCTGATTCATATCACACGCACATACAGACAGAATTACTTTCACTTTAAGATAATTTATCCTTTGTCCTTGTAATCCTGGGGTCTCGGGTTCGATTCCCGGCGGTGCCCGAATTTTTAACTTGTGTTGGGCAAGGCCGTGGTTTAGGCAACACGGAGTTTTCCTCCGTTGCATCCCAACAATTACTCCATTCACACTCACACAGAAGAAGGCAATGGCAAACCACTTTTGGATCATCTGCCAAGAACGTATATGAACAGGTCCCAGTCCGAGAAAAGGATGGAAGGATCCTGTTCATATGGACCTGTCGTCAGACAGAACACTAAATAAATAAAAAATAAGACGTTGTATTTATGTGAGTCCGCAAGTAGACCTCATCCCAAGCGAACATCCTGTTTAATTTGCGTTTTAATATTATCCTTGCCGTCTACGTCATCTCAGTTTTGTCTTTTGGCGCCGTGTAGACTCGTAGCTAGACGCTAACGTTTCGGAGAAACATACTGCCTTCATCATCATGGTGATAATGACGGAGGAGGCAGCAAGGACCTCTTAAACGTTGGTAAAACATCCACCAGATTACTCGGCAGCCTAGAAGACAGCTTGGACACATGGAACTTCTCATTAAGTTCTTTTCCTGACCCTCTCGTCAGGCGGTGTTTTCTTTGCGGTACGGACAGAATTTTTGTTAATGTTTTGACGAACTTCGGCTTCAAAGGCATACAAGTTTGCCCTTGTGACAAATAAGATACAAGAATCTTGCAACCTCTGACTTTGATTTCACGAGTAGAAAAGAAAATTTCACTTAAGTCCATGTACATAATTAAGATACAACTGGTGCAGCAAAATTAGGACGTAAATAATATGTAATCTTTGTGACCTTTATTCCGTTTTCAGTAAAGTGCACTCAGGTCTTAGTAAAATTATTATCTAAAGAAAAACATGTTTCTATAAGATGCATTTAATGAGCCTGTGTCTGGCAATCAAACCTTGTATTAAATGCGTTCTTTTGAGGTCGTTAAAGTGTTTGTTATTTAATTGTGAATCCTTGTTTACAGTTTTATTAAATAAAAATACAACGTAGGCTAGTGCCTATATAACCCCGTCATTCCGGTCACAGTGGAATATTACGAGAAATTCCATCTTGTTTCCCGTTGAGTTGTGAAACCAGCGCAGATGTGGCGTATACTCCATCCCTGTGATATTCCAAGGCCCTTGGTTCTCAACGCTCTCTACATAAATACGCAGACGAGCATATCGTACAACACAGTCAGGATTTACCGATAGGAATCAGAAAGGCGTAAGAAGTTTTAACCCGTAAACAGAATTCAGCGTCGTCGGAACACGTAATGATTGCAGATTGTCCTGGCTACTTGCCTGTGTCCTTGATGGGCTGCGATTCCTGACACGTCCAGACGAGATTTTGGTCACGTAAAAACACGTTTGTAGTTACAGAAAGAATAATTTTAGTCCTTGTAACATGCCCGCATGAGCAAGAGTTGTTTCGCTAATCCAGGGTCGACCACGCGACGCGTACGTGGATGCTTGTCTTGGACGCCCTATACCATGAGGTTTTCCTCCGTTTCCAAGCAAAATCATGACAGGACTTAACCATATTCGTTGTCCCGAAAGTCCAGGATCACAGGAAAACTGTTAATTGGCAAAATACTTTAAAATGCGAAGCCAGATAACGTTTTAAGGGATGCAAAACAATTTTTGCATCCCTTAAAACGTTATCTGCTTAAGACACATTCCATTACGTTGTGAAGTAGACAACAGAAAAACGAGCAGCCATATCTGTTTGTTTCGAACACTTCCACATGAAGATGAACATTTAAGGTCGAAACATGTAATGGATTATCAATGAACATTGTAATTGTGTAGACGGACAGTCAACCGAAGGATGAAAACGTTGCTGCAAATGTGATGTTTTGAATCTCAAGTATTCGATTCTTTTATCTAGGGGGTGTTTACTGAAGTGAGCTGAAGTGGGAGGGGGGTGACGTCCTTCTGAAAACTCTGGAAGCACATTTTTATCTCTCTTCCACTGCAACATGGCCGTCAAGTTTAACTACAGATTACAGAATTTGGTTGGCGCCTGGGTCGGCCTACACAAAGAAACATTATTTGCAACAACTTATCCAAGGTGACAAACGCAAAAACTGGAAGTTAGCTCATTCCGCCGGGACCTTCACATGCCTTCGTAGCTCCTAATGCGAATCGCTGATGGTGTGGAAAATAACAGATACGAGGTGCGATCGGAAAGTTTAAAGACTGTGTCAATAGCGGGCGAACCGGATGTAGTACGAGCTTCTGCCTTTATGGGGTGCGGCCTACATTCATAGTGAATCAGTGTGCCAGCCGGCATCATCGAATTAGCATTTGTTTCTTAGTTACGGGCGTTTTCGTAGTGCATTACACCGACCCTCCTGCGATTTAGGAATGGCGTGTGCATCAAATTTTGCCAAA